CACTGAGGCGCGCAAGCCATCACACCACGCCAAGGTGCAGTCTCGTCGTGATGGCGGAATCAAAGCACGAAGGTTTCTCTGTCGTGATCCAAATAGAGCTTCGGAATCCATCATCATTGATTCTTAAGATGTGCTACATTTATTGAACAATGAGCTCCGATCAGTATACATGCCATGGCACGAACAAACATCACCGTTATGGGCCTGATTCCCAAGACCTACGAGCTTGAAGCACGCCCACAACAGCGACGTAAAACTACCAACCAGCATTAGTATGATGGTATCGGGCAGCTTTATTGTCGTCCGATTCTATAGCGCATCTTATACTGGGCTTTATACAGTTCCTTACTCCAGGTGCAATATATGTAGAGTGGGTCCGCTTACCTGCGGGGTTTCTGTAGTTATCTGTCACATCGCGAAGTGTGAAAAATGAGATAAAGTGAAAATGACATGCGATATTTTTGAGAACAAATTATGTTGTTCGGTGGGCTGAAAACGGACGGAGTATGGGACAAAGCGTCAGTAGGATAGAAGAGATAGGCTTCATCACAATTTCAAACAATGAGGGCTTACTTTTGTCTCACGAATTTGTTCGTAAGCCATGATACCCACGATGTAATCGGTTGCTTCCATCATTCGATCTATTGGAGACCGATCGAGGGCAGAGATGGCGAAATCTGAGCGACGACACTCGGCTAGTAACTCCTCCAGCTGTACCCGGTCAGCAAATGCTGCCCGGACTATATCACAAGCGAGCTACAGTGAACGGTATGAAGAATGAGATTACTATTATTGGATAGAAACAGCGATTATCACTATCGACGTATAGCGAAATACAGTGAACTTCATCATTGCAAGACCCATAATACAGGCTAAGCTAGAACATGTACGGTGGGTAGATAGTGGGCCTGTTCTGAGGTAGGAAGAGAAAAAGGAATCTCCATGAGCAACAACACAGAGAGAGAGGGAAATAACCTAAATGCGCACAAACACCTTTCCAAGGATTCTCGCCACGTAAATAATAAGTAGTGATAAGTAGAAAATCACTGCTTTCGGTTCGCTGTCATTTTTTTTCTAAACCAATCAATTAGTCTATTGGACCCCAACCTGGAAGACGGAGGATATCTCCCCAACTTAGCTCTCCGTGCACGCCTTCGTACCCCTTCTGCACAACATTTATTGACTTGAATGCGATTTTTTATCGCAGCTGTGGTGTATTGCGGTAGATAACGGTTATGCATGTGCAATACGTATCTGAACTAACTAATCTGAATTTGCTGAGATGAGGCACTTTCACAGAATTGAACTGTGTATAACTTTTGCACGCACTGAAGCCTAGAGTTCAGTTAAAAAACCTATAGACGCCAACCGTTTCAAAGAACATATTCAACGGGGAGAAAATATTCACAGATATGAGG